TTCTTCCCTTTGACTCATATCGCTCAATTGCCACTGGAGGCGGGAGACATCCTGACGTGATTGCTCAGCTTCTGCACGTAGTCGCTCCAGCTCCATGACCAACGCCTCTTCCCGTGCACGATTAATTTGTTCCTGCGTGCGGAAACTCTCCACTTGGTTCTTCATAAAGTCGATTTGGACCTCTAGGGGAGTATTGGGCGGCGGAAGAGTATTAAGTGTAGGAAAAGTTGTTGCCGAAGCGCTATGGTCGGAACCCTTGCTTCTGTGGGACGCAGGCTGTCGACCTCTTCGGGGGGAAGGCGAATGATCGTCATTATGCTTTCCTTCCCACTGCCAGGCAGAAGTGTCTGAGGCGAGAGGCGGAAGCATTATCTGTGAAGTTATACCTTGGGGAGGGGTAAAGGGAGCACCGGATGTACTTGCAGAAGTGCTTGCCGAAGGACTTGGGAAGGAAGGGGGTGGTGTTTGGGTGCGACCGAGTATGGGTGAGGTGGGTAAGGGTATCTCTGCAGGATTAACATCGCCCGACAACAAGGTAGAGTGTACAGTAGTTTCTTGCGTTAAAGTGGCATGAGGAGTGCGGGGAATTGAGGTGGGGCGAGGGGTTTCATCCACAGGAAAAGTCTCAGGGATCGACTCTGAGTGCTCAGAAATGGAGGGTGTTAGAGGACGGTTCCGACGGGAGGACAATGCTGAGGGTTGTCGAATAACCTTCTTAGCACTCGGAATGCCTTGAGGATGACTGCTGGTGGAGGCTGCTCTTGGCAGTTTTTGTGCAGGGGCTCGTTTTCGACGGTCCTTTGATCGCTTTTTCTTGTCTGCAGCTGTATTCGAGTCAGCGTTAGCAATCAAAGATTTCTGATTGTCTTCGAGCATCTGAGCTCGCTGGTGGCGAGCAGCGGCGAATGCGGGCGAGAATGCCTTCCATGTGCCGATGCTTGCAGCAATGAGGAGTGTTGTGGCTGCGAGCATAAGTTTTGGGTCAAGAGCACTTTTGAACCCGGGCTGAATGTCATTGTCGTTGTCCATCAGTGCGGACGTTTCTGCTCGTAGTGGGGGTCAAGGATGGCAAGGGCTCTTGCTTTGTACGTGGTCCTCCCGCAACCGAGTTACTACCGTGCCAAACAGAGATCGTTTGGATAACCGAACTGCAATCCATATGTCTCTCAGAACCTGCTTCGTATTTTATCAGCCACTCAGGACCCCGCCATGCGCGTCAATCTGACTTCTGTCCCCCCAAAATCATACGGTCGCCTTGTATGGACATTGTGGGCCAATGTTAACCTCTTAGGAAAGTTTTTATTTAGCTATACTGAAAAGACTTCGGCTTCAGTTTAGGCTTGATATGTGCCTTCCATTCAAAACTGCAGTGGCCAAAGAATCTCGCTCCCTCCTCGGACTGCTCCTCGCCGTGGCATAACTTTGCCCAGTCCCTTTTGATCGACTATTTGTTGATATTGATGTCTATTCTGCCAGAATTAACCGACAATGGCATCGATCTAGGTAACCGCTCGTCAGGATTCAGCAAGCCAACGGCGGGCGTCGGCATCTATTACCCCAGTTTGGTGGTGCGCCTTATTGCGAGGTCAAACCGACAGAAAAACCAAGGTCACTAGGATCTGAAACATGACATCATGCATCCCTTCTCAACTGTCTCCCAGACGATGAACGTAACGCCAACGATCCCCCTTGGAGATATAGGCTTTCCACACAGTCATTATTATCAGGGAGACTCTAGAACCGTGCGATACTAGGCTCGTAAAATACACACGTTCCTTCGAAATACAGGGTGAATCAATCGCCGCCCCTTCTCGGGAGAGGTCCTCCTTTTAGTCGGGATGAGCTTGACTTGTGACTGAGGGTAGCTTGATGGCTGGTGATGGCTACATGATACCGTCTTCCCGCTATTTTCCACGGACAACCAGTTTCCCCCGGCCTCTGCCAGCGCGCCGTACGGG